GATAAGGATTAGAAAAGCAGGCAGCAAGGGAAGTCACCTTCTCTGAGGAAGGAGGTTGACCTAGAATTTTTAAAATGTTTTTTTAAAGATTAATTTATTTTATTGGAAAGGCTGCTACATAGAGGAGATACAAAGAGAAAAATCTTCCATCTGCTGGTTTATTCCACAAGTGGGCGCCAACAGCTAGAGCTGAGCCAATGTGTGAAGCCAGGAGCCAAGAGTCTCTCCCTGGTCTCCCACATAGATGCAGGGACTCAAGGCCTTGGGCCATCCTCAACTGTCTTCCCAAGCCACAGGCAGGGATCTGGATGGGAAGTGGAGCAGCCATAATATGAACTGGCACCCAAATGGGATGTTGGCAGTTGCAAGTTGATGACTATAGGTACTAGGCCACCGTACTGGGTCCCGCTGACTCGGTTTTTATTGAAATGCTTGAGAGGTCAAATTACAGGAGTTGATATGGCACAAATATTGATGGATATACCATATTGATGCTAACCAGCCAATGATTGATAATCAGGAAGCAACAATGTTACCCAAGACAGAAATCGGTATGTGACTCTCCGAAACTATCTTAAACACCCCATCCTGTGGCCTTGGATGGTTGCCCCACCACAGACCCTCACCCACAGATGTGGACCCTGGTCCTGGACTATGCCAGCTTCAGATCATTGCCTGCAGAGTTTGAACTTGTTCTCCAGCACCAGCTGTCTGTGAACTAAGATTCCAGACAAAGTCTGTCTTGCTCTTCTTCATCAAGTCATGCTGTTATTTATTTATTTATTTATTTATTTATTTATTTATTTATTTATTTATTTTACAAACTGCCTGTGGCAGTTCCCATCATGAGGATTAAGAGGGTTGAAATTACTTCAAATATTGATTTATTTGAAACGTGCGTTGGTTATAGGGTGAAGTTTTTTACTTACCAGTTCACTACTCAAATGGCACCAACATCTATAACTGGGGTTGGGCCAGTCCAAAGTGAGAAGCCAGGAACTCCATCCAGGTCTCCCATCTGGGTTGGCAGAATACAAGCAGCATCATCTACTGCCTTCCAAGATGCATGAGGTGGAAGATCGATTGGAGGTAGAGTTGGTGGGACTCAAAATCCCTCCCAGAAAAATATGGAAGGTAGGTGTCTCAAATGCAGCTTAACTCATCGTGGTACAAGTTCCACTTCAGGGGGTGGGGGTTTAATCTATGTTGTTTAGAGGTTTACCACCTTTGAACAGTGAATAGCAGGAGTCACCATGGCTGAATATTAATGGTTTTATATATGAAGTCAAAGGAAACGCACACATATGCGCGCGCACACACACACACACACTCACACTGTCTCTTGCACGTGATGCTCTGTACCTCAAAACTATCCTATCCAGAATGCCATCACCAAGTGTAAAGCTCTTGAAACCCTGAAACATGAGCTAGATAAACCCTTTTTCTTTATAAAGCTATCCAGCTTGAAATGTTTCATTACATTAATGCAAAAGAGACTAACACCTTATGTAATAAATTGATTTCCTTTCTTTGTTATATGGAGTAATAGAATGAGGAGTTTAGATGTGGGACATCTTGTATTAATCCTTGCTTTGCCACATACTAGCCCATCAGTCAAGTCAACCTTCTTTATTTGCTGTGATGTAAGGAAAGCAAATTGCTTCTTTCCAGTCCCTCTTGTCCACTGGAAAGCAACTGTGCTGGTTGTTGCTCTGTTGCCAAAGAGTAACATCATTTTCAAAAACGTGTGTTAACTGCACAATCTGGGGCCAGCATTGTAGCATTACATTGCCACATCCCTCATCGTTGGCATCTCATATAGACACCAGTTCAAGACCTGGCTGCCTTGCTTCTGATCCAGTTCCCTGCTAATCAGCTTGGGAAAGCAGCAGAAGGTGGACCAAATGCTGGGGTCCCTGCACCTGTGGGAGACACAGAAAAGTCTCTTGGCCCCAAGCTTTGGACTGTCATAGCCCTGGTTGCTATAGCCATTTAGAGAACTAGCAAATGGAAGCTTACTCTCTGTTGTTCCCTTTCTCTCTGTTTAAATAAACTGCTCTTTAAATAAATAAGAAATAAAATATTAAAGAAAGAAGTACACAGTCTGTTTGCTGGCTAGATTGAGATGCACTGCACTGAGACATCTGTTTCATTTAATTTCAGCTCTAATAAGTGGTCTTTTATGATGACTCTCATAATCTTAAGAGAATTTTAAGAGCCATAGCCTGAGTTAATTAGCTCCCAAGAAATGAAATGGCTTCCTTTCCTCTGCCTCTGACCATCTCCATGTACACTGGTAACTCAACTGCTCAACTGTGAGATCAGGGTAATGTCATGGCCATCTTAATGTCAGGACCTGTGACCAATTACAGGAGTTTTAATTAAAAGAAAAAGAAAAAGAAAAAGAGAAACTGTTCATAGTAACAATGAGATGGCCTTTAGGAGATATTTATAGATATGCTATGCACTCTATTTAAAGAATTTTAAAAGAGCTAGCTTATTTGAACCATCATAAAAATGGCATTTTATCCTTTGTATATGAGGGAATTCACACATACACACACTCTTTCTTCCATTTTTTTCAATTACCATACCATAGCAGATCTGTGCTTTAACTTGGGTTCTTTTTTACTTGTTAGATTCGTCTATTCTCATACTTAATAAAAATAATTGTTATTATAAATACAAATTAACTGTTATTTTTTGCATGTACTAATGCACATTCATTAAATCACATGTCAATAAGAACTTTTTTCACAATTATATGTCTTGGTCTGAAGGAAACCAAATATAGAATGCATGGGAATTTCACCACTCCAGTGTTCTGGTCTACCTTAGATTCACTAGCAAAATCGGAAGATTTCCCCTTAAAATTTTTTGAAAATTTATGGCTGTTCATAAATCTGAAGAACTTATTTTTCATGCGGAGTGAAGTTAGTCATAGAGAACCCTCATAAAGGAGTGTAAGTTCAATTGTGCATGGTGGGAAGAGCATTGGATTCCCAGCTGCAGCTCTTCTACTTACAGGACTTGGAGGAAACTCTTCATCTCTCTAGGACTTTAACATGGTCACTCCGAAAACAACAATGATGCCCTCTCCCTGGTCTGCCTCACTGTGGTTACTCCAGGGAAGAAGACATAGTAAGGATCTGAATTTACTCTAGCAAATCATATAAAAATAACAAAATAATATAAAGAAAGAGAAATGTATCAGTGCTTTGGACTGTGTTAATGTACATAAACAGTAGCTATATTTCCTAGAATTGGCTTTTCCATAGGGTCGGTCTAATAGAAGGCTCCAGAGGCAGAAGTGAGATTGTAGTCATTTTCCTTGGTAAAGATCTGAGCAAGTCATGATGCACTGGAGTAACTTCATGGCAACTCATCTCCCATTTTACTCACTGTTCAAAGGGCAGTGCCTGGAACTAAGTCTCTTTTTGTTAAAATCAGACATCCTCCTCAATTCTGTAATCCCCACACTAACTAAGGTTGAAACTCAGTGGAAAAGGCACTGGCATGTGTGATTCACACCAACAAAGTCACAGCTTGAGGGAGACAGTTATAGGTTCAATGTTTTCCGCATGAGGCCCATTGAGTTACCAGAAAATCCAGTGTTTCCATACAGGATTTTTTTCCCCAATTGCCAATATCCTGTTCTTTCTAGACAGAATTCATCTAGTTGACCTATCCCAACTTAAGGCCCATCATCATATGCACAGACATTAGTTTTTGCATAAATTTCCTAGCCAACACTCATAATTACATGGGTGACAAATTCATTATCCTGTAATACCCAATGATATTCACTCATCAAACCTTGGCATTATCAATTGAAAAGATAATAAGCTCTAGGTGATGCTTTCATTTCCTTTACAGTTACAGCTTCTGACTTAGTTTGCATATTCAATAAAGTTCACATCTTTGAAAACAAACCATATGTTCTGCATATGCAAAAACACACACATAGTATAGCACCTACCAAAGCACACTGCATGTAAAGGTATTTATAATGTTTAAACATATATACATAAAATTCAATTGCTTTAGTTAAAATTGTATCTCAACCAAAGATGTGTTTTAAAAGCTACATAGTCAAGATTCATTAAAGTTTCTCAAGTAGTCACAAATTCTTGGCTCCATCTATGTGTGAAATTGAAACATATACTTTTTAACAACAGAATGTACCACGTACAAATGAAAATCAGACAAATTGTACTGCCATAGTGCGCCCCCTCCCTAGTGTTTCCTCTAGTAGATTATAGCACTGGGCACCAAACACCATTTGTTAACCACGATGTTTAAGAACTGGGGAAGTAAATCTTACATTGGAAGGAGGGTTCAAGAGAGAAAGTTACGTGAAAACCAGAAAGCATTCTTCACTTGTCCCAAATGCTAGAGGTTTGAAATATTGTTCTGCTTTATCTGGATCCACAAGCTCCCTCTTCACTATACTATCAATATCTTCCCATTGAGCCAGTAGGGAGCTAAGTTCCAGGTGGCAGTTACAAGTTTAAGATTTGAAAGGACCTGATCGGACCTGATGTGTGCAACCACACATTGCAATATATGCTGGCAAGATCCAGCCCATTCTCAGCAACTCTCATCACTCCATAATGCCCCTTCCAAATACTGAACACCCACACAGAGCTCACAGATCCTTGTGCTCTAGTTGCTATGCTTCTCTGTCCATATAGAGCTATTCCTTGAGGTTGGGTTTAGCAGGAACAAGAAAGCAAGAAATCAAAGACCAGGGAGCCTAAAGGAAGTGACATCTGCTTCTTTTTGATATTGTTTTCTTGTGATCAAGACCCTAACTGCTCTGAAGTTCAGACGATTCACATGTCAAATGAGGATAAGCAGGCAATCTCCTGATTTTTGTGACCATTACACAGGTAACAAATGCGAACTGACTTGTAAAACATGGGACATGTAGGAGAACATGAGACTTTCTTTCTAGAGAGAGGCTTTATGTGGTATTTAAAAAGCACCAATCCATTTACCCGTGTAACGAAGAACTTCCGTGAGACAAAAGGCCAATGGTATGGATTGGGGTAAAGTCTTGACTCAGTCACACTTGACACTCTCGACATGGACCTCGGTACTGAGTCCTTGGCTGGATCTCCTTCCTCCACAGACAAATGGTCAGTCTCACAGGGCTGTTCATCTCCCTCTTGCTGAAGTGACACAGGCTGGAATCCTTCAAGGCTCCCAAGAGTGGCCATTTCTTCAGCCTACACCAAGAGAAGAAATAAGCCTCTAATCAGACCTGATAAGATAATCCTCACCACCCCCATGGCTTAAGTGAGTCAGGACAAAGAGTCCTGTGAAAAATTAAGTCTTCCAGTGGGAAAAGGGAGACATTAGGGTCAGACGGCAAGTTTGGATCTGGGTTTGGAAGGCATTTGTCTGTGTATTTTCAAAGAAGCTTATGAATGAGAGTAAGTGTGGTAAATAGTTCATTAAATGAAGAGATAGAGAGAGGAACTAGTGGGTGAATAAGAAGGGTCAGCCATTCATAAGTTCGAAAGCGTTAGGATCTTCATGAGGTAGCCAGTCAGGTCCTGGCTGCCCAGGTCCATACACAGGATGGCGTAGCGGAGGGCATAGCCCTTATAGATGGGCATCATGTGGATCATGCCATTGTCTGAGTCCACCATGATGTCCGTGGTGTGGCCCCAGGCATACAGCAACATTACAGCCTGGATGACCACGCATATGGTTGGCATGTTGAAGGTCTCAAATATGACCTGGTTCATCTTTTTTTGATTGGGCTTGGGGCTTTGGGGGTTCTCGTCAGATGTATTGGGTACTCCTTGGGGGCCACACACAGATTGTTGTAGAAGGTCGATGTCAGATCTTTTTTTTTTTTTTTTTTACATCATCTCAGTTAGTCACAATGTTGTGTTCAATGGGGTACTTGTGGGTCAGGATGCTGTGCTTGTTCTGTACCTCGTCTATGTTGTGGTGATACAGGAAACTGAGGTTTGAAAGGATAAGGGATACCCAGCTTGATGGATATCTGAATAGGCTCATGGTGGTAGTCACAACTGGTATGGAAGTGTACAAAATTTGAGGATCAATCTTGGAAGAAGATAGAAGTCCCTCCCTACTCATCTGACTCATTATACTCCAGTAGAGGGAAATGTGACATTGATACAGGCTGTGTCCTGAACAGGTTGAGGCTGTGTTCTGAATAGGTTGAGAGAGGCACCCAACATGGACAAGATGTCACATTCCAACAAGGGGATTGGACAGGATAGGATAACCAGAAAATAATGAGTGAAGAGTATTCCCTCAAGGGAGCACAGCAAATGGCCTGATTGTAAAGGTTTGGCAGGAATTCCATCAATACCCATAACAATGATCTGGGAAGGATAGGTATTGCCTGAATGGGCAAGCAACACAAAGTAGGTAACTCCTGTTTCCACCAGAAAATTGATGGATGTAACCAATACCTCAATGGAAACCTGTGGCTTGGCCAGGTTGATGATGTCTGCTCCTCGGCCCTGCTAATCCTCAGCCAGTCCCAAAAGTTTAGGTGTTAGTTAGGTCAGCAATATTGCCCCTTGAGGGGGTGGGAGTGCCCCATAGAGGCAGAGCACCAGTCCTCCACATTGGGCAATCTGATTTCCAGTGTCCCACTGGCGTGCAACGTGGACATGGCTTGGTAGGGCTGAGAGGTCACAGGTTTGGACATTGTGGTGACCCTCCTGCCCACATTTAAAGCAGACCCCCAGCCATGTCCAAGTCCCATGAGGTACAGTAGGTCATCATGCCACCACCAGTGCCTGGGATTGGCGAGGAGAGTCATCTTTTTCTGTAACTGCCTGTCTTACCTGTTTGGGTGTCTCCTCATGAGTGTTGTAGAGTTTAAATGCGATTTTTACCAGTCCATGTTTAAGAGTCTGAGGACCCTCTTGCTTGTGTGAGTTTTTTATGAATATCTGGAGCAGACTGGGAAATGAAATGTGTTGCCAAAACCATGGCCCCTGAGGGAGACTCAGGGTTTAATTTAGTGTATTTAATGAGAGCCTCAGACAACCTATCCAGAGTTTTCACCTGAGTTTTGTGTGACATCCTGCAATCTATTAAAGTTGTCCACCTTATTAGAGACTGTCTGCATGTCTGCCAGAAAGGGTTGGACCATGTGAGTCACACTGTGGCAGCCCCATTGATTGTCTTGGTATTTCCAGTTGGAGGGTATGTCAGGGACCACCTGAGTCCCCGAAGGAGGGTTTGGCCAGTTAGGCATTGTTGATCCACATGGTCCCTTGCTGCCATTCCTCAGAGATTAGTGAGAAAGTGAGGATGACATGGATGTCTCCTATGAATTTGACGTAAGAGTACAGGTTTACAATTAACTTACATTGTACATTACAAAAAACAATGAGCATAACATGAATGACTTGGTAGATAAAAGTAAAGAGATTTTAAACAGTTTTCAAACAGGTACGGCTAGAACCTTAACAGTCCTAACTGACAAGAGGCATGTGTTTGCTCATCTTAGGAAGCACATGCAGGGTTGTATAAAAAGGTGCAACTTTTAGATCTTTTAGAATTGAGATAATGATTGGGCCCGGCGCGGTGGCGCAAGTGGTTAAGGTCCTCGCCTTGCACGCCCGGGATCCCATATGGGCGCCGGTTCTGCTCCCGGCAGCCCCGCTTCCCTTCCAGCTCCCTGCCTGTGGCCTGGGAAAGCAGTCGAGGACAGTCCAAAGCTTTGGGACCCTGCACCCGTGTGGGAGACCCGGAAGAGGCTCCTGGCTTCGGATTGGCATAGTATCAGCCCGTTGCGCTCACTTGGGGAGTGAATCATTGGACGGAAGATCTTCCTCTCTGTCTCTCCTCTCTGTATATCTGCCTTTCCAATGAAAAAATAATAAAAATAAATATTTAAAAACAAACAAACAAAAAAGAATTGAGATAATGATTATGACTGATAACATAAAAGATCATCAAGCTTGTGTAGCTGAGGTATTTTAACATAACACAAATCTGCACCACTTTGCACCTTGACAGTATTTTTAATGTGGTCCAAGTAACCTAGTCAGTTGTTGTCTCTACAAAATGAGAGATAAATCCTTTAACATTTACAGGAAGCCTTACTGCATATATCAAAATGTCAAATTTTTAAACTTTGGGGATTTTTGACTGTCTGTCAAGGATGACAAGAAGGCTTTAAATATCCGGTTGAAGTGGAATCTCTTTACATGACACAATAGACATCACATTAATTATGGACATAAAGTAAGTACTCATATACCTTTAAAACAAGTACATAACTTTTGATGATCTTAAACAATGTGAATCTAACAAAAGAGAATACAAGGATTACCTCAGATAAGTGGTAGTGCACTGGCTTATCTTATAGACTGGGACAATTTAGCAGAGTCTGGTCTAGATTTTACTGGAGGTAACTAGAAAACTTAGTCATTAATTAGTTAAAATCCATTTAAAAGGAGATGTTACAATAACATGTGTATTTCAAAATAATGTTTTAACAGAAGATCAGGCTTTAATTCCAGGTATAGTGATAAATATTTAGAAAATGCTTAAACAATACTTTAAAGACCATCATTAATTATTATATTACATATAAATAATACAAGATGTATTCCTCTCACATCTTTCGTAGCTTCCCCACTCCTTCTTTAATATATTATTATCTCTAAATACTCTATCCTCTTTTACCTTTGCAGTCTAATGAAACTATTTTTCTGTAGGACAGAATATGTTAAAGAGACTACGTATTTTTTCTGTGGGCCCTATTTAGTTGTATTTCCCAACCCTCCCCTCCTGGCTGGTAAGTGGATAGGGGAAGATGGCTTGATAAAAGAGAAGGAACAAACTTAAACTGTCCTTGGAAAAAACTGCAGCTGTGTGGCAGAGTGGAGGACAAGAGAAGTCATAATAACTGCTGCTGAGGAAGGGGAAGAGAGCCAAATAGTTTAACCCTAAATTTGGGTAGAAAGAGAGCCTTGTGGAGGTGTAGGTTTTAAGATTTTTTTGGAGGCAGCCAAGTGCTAGTCTGTAGGGTGCTTGAACTCTCTAGCCTGGCTGGAATGTCCAGAGTCCAAGGTGGTTGGATTATTTTAATGTTAGATTTATGTGGAATGTGAAGTTTGAAAAATGACAAAGAGGTTATATTCACCCACCACACGCAGCAAGTAGTAGGCCATTATTAGTCTATGTCAGAGTCTGAGAGAGTGGCAGGAGGAGGGGGAAGGTCCAGTTAGTGCTGGAAGGCAAGTGTAACTGAAGGAGGAGTCCTTATTGGCTAAGGCAGTACAGGCCTGAGATCCAAGGCCATGATGGCCAGATAGTAGAAGGAGGGGGTGTAGGAGAGTGGTGGAGCAGTCAGAGTTGTTAGAGAAGTTTCTGTATGGTAAGGAGCTGGTGGCAGTACAGGAAGGGTTAGTTGACGTAGGCACAGAATCTGGGTGCAAGGAATTTGGGGGAACAAGGAGGACTGTATAAACGCTGGATAGAAAGTCAGTTGAGGGGGAAGAGTCAAATCTTCTGGAGGGTAAGTGAAGTGAGGAGGAAATAATATGGGACTTGCAGGTTTAGGGTTTGGAAGACCTGGGTAATGGACCAAGAGGAGCATATGGTGAGGCCAGAGCATATCTCAAAAATTCTGTATATACGGCACTTTAAATCACTTGCCATTGCAATGACAGAAATTGCCAAATCCATAAAGACACTGACATTAATGTGTTCACCAGCTGATTTGAATCATTGTCTAAGGGGTAATGTAGTCAAGCCACCATGGAATAAAAGATAAGACATTCCCAGCATAAGTCCTGGCCTAGCCCCAAATTTGTAAAGTTAGTCATTTGTTAGGTCTGGGTACTGTACGCTTAGGACTCAGTATTGCCCATCCTGTCCTGATCGAGTGTCTCATGACTAGTTCAGATGTGAGGAAGGCATCCCTACCTTGGAGTCTGAGCTGTTCCTTAACGATGTGGGTGGGTCAGTGAAAGGTGCACCTCCCAAATCACAGAGGGCCATCCCCCAACCCCACTGTACCCCCCTAAATGGGTGGGCAGGTCAATGAAAAAGGACATCTCCTGTATCACTGAGGGCTCTGGAGATGGATGAAAAGTATGTGAGGGACATCCCCCACCTAACAGGAGGTCTGAGACTCAGAGGACCAGTGCATGCATGACTTGGCAGTCTGGAACAGAACAGAGAGGGCTTTCAGGACAGGAGGGGCTCAGTGGAG